AATGCTGTTCCGATGAAGTTAGAAAGTTCTGACAGAAGATATGTAGTTGTCAGAACGTCAGAAGCTCATATGCAAATACAGAATATTTTGACGCTTTGTCAGAATGTTTGACATCTGACTTTTACAACCACTTGTTCTCATATTTCATGACATTAGATATTCTAAGTTCAATCCAAGACAAATTCCACATACCGAAGAGAGACAAACATTGTTAGAAGCAAACAAGAGTGTATATGAACTGTTCATAGAAGAAAGGCGACTTTGTGTCATTAGATGAAAGGTCATTGTACGATTCGTATAAACAATATTGTCAAGAATATGGTTATATGCAGCTTCTAAACGAACATTCTTGGCAAATGTCAAAAGTCTTTTAGATGTTCAGAATGGTGTATATACAAAGAAAATTTTTTCTGAGTAAATTTAAAAAAATATTTTTTATCCGATAGAAAAGATGACGAAATATATTCAGTAAACAAGTACATGTCAGGACTTAAAGAAGAACTAGACCCATTCACATATTGAATGTTTACTTCTACCATTTTGAAAAGTCTTCATTCAGCAAAGTTTGGAACATCGAACCAGTTAAGTTTGCTATTGTGACTAAAAATGGTGCGAAATTTGAAGACTAGACATAGAAGGTTTGTTAACAGTCAAAGAAATTTTGACAGAAGGTTCTCAAACCTTAAAGAAGGCAAAGCATACAAACTTGTTATACCTTATGAACCAAAGAAGACAGACGACTATGAATATTATGAGTCTAAAGTTGTAGAAGTTCAAGGTAAATTGGGTAAAAATATTTTAGAGTCTAAGCCAGTGTTTACTCCTAAAAGGAAGAGAACATTGACATGACCCAGAAATGTTCTAAAAATAAAATTTTATTTTTACATGTCAAATTTCTTTTTCTCTGGAACTGGTTCAGGTTCTTTCTTCTCTTCTACTTTTTTCTCTTTCTTTTCTTTCTTCTTCTTCTCTGGTGGAGTTATGTCAAATTTCTCCGAACCATATTTCTGTAAAAGTTCTTTGTCCTTTAATAGCTCATCTATTCTGTTTTCTATTTCATCTTTCAAGAACACACGCATGTGTCTTTTTTGCATTCTAAGAACTTTGTTGGACTTCATCTTTCCAATCGGCGTCATCTCTGTCAACAAGTCTGTCAATGACAAATTTAAGACTGCTCTTTGTAATGTTTATGGTTCTTGTCATTATATCCCAGAAACAGAACTTTAGAACAAATTCACCTTCTTTTCTACACTATGTAAGTTTTATGTCGACAGATGTTTTGCTGTCGAAAAGTTTTGTCTCGAATATAGATAGCGAAATCGCTAGACATTTTCTAAAAGATAAAAATTTTAATTTTTCTAAAAAATATGTTAGAAAAAAAGTTTGCTGACATTGACAAGAAATTTGAGAATGTTTTAAACAAGAACAAGAGAAAGTTAGAAAATGCTCAGATAAAGCCTATACATGAAAAGTTCTTATTTGCTCAGAATGGTATAACAGGTCTAATTGCACCACCTGGGTCGGGTAAGACTTTCACTTATCTTAAAATGGCTGCACAACAACAAGAACTAGATGAGAAGAACCCATTCTATGAGTTAGTAGTCATTTGTAGTACTTCGGGTCAATTTGACCAAACCGTCAATTCGTTCAAAGATATTATAAAGAAGTCTAAGTTAGTATGTATAAAGGATACTGAGTTGTTAGATTGGATAAAGAAGTACCAAAGAAGAGTTTTGAAGTATAATGCTATAAATGAGTATATAAATTCGAAGTTTAAAGACCCAAATGAGGAAATGCAGAGAATATTAGAGAAGAAACACTTCAGAAACAAACAGAAAGAGATAGAATACATTTCGAAGAAATTGCAATCTTACGATTGGAAGACTTACCCTCATAGATGTCTTCTTATCTTAGATGATTTCGCCTCTCATCCTTTGTTAAAGAACAGAGAACAAGATATGTGTCGAATTCTTAAGAAGCTCAGACACTTTAACATCTCAGTTGTCATTTGTGTACAGACAGCAAAGAGTTTAAGTAAGGATGTTAAAAGAATACTTACTGACATAATACTTTTCCCCGGATTGTCCGAAGACGATTTCATGGAACTTATGAAAGAGTCCATGGCAGGTAAGTTTGACAGACATGAACTATGGGAGAAGTACAAAGTCATACAAGACCCTCATACTTCTTTCAGAATTCATATCTACGCAAACAAAGTTCAAATTGTAAAAAGTCAAGCTTGAAAAATGTAAGTGTTTAGTCTTAGTAAGGATATCTCTTCGCGAAGCAAATACCATTGCTGAATTTTATGTACGTGAAGAGAAGTACAATGAATTCAATTACGAGTACAATTGCAATGACAACTAAGGCAACTATTTTTGTCTTTTGCCAGCAAGAGTACTTCTTCTCTTCCAATGGTTCGGCAGAACTATACTCACTCATGAGAAATGCCAAAACGGTTTAATAGAAAAAGTGTCATTTTTTTCATGTCCGAAGACTCGAAGGTGCAACACTTCCAAAATACCGACGAACTCAGAAGAGCAGCATGGCAGTATGTTCTTGACAACTTCTTTGAGTTCTCCAGGTACACCTTGGAAAATGCTGAAGAACTCCGACACAGAGAATTTGGAGAAATTGCACTCCAATACTATCTTGACAAACAAAGGGTAAATTAAGACTAAAAACTTAACGTTTAAAAAGTGACATTTTTATGAGCTCCGAGTCACCGAGAAAACTTGGTCAGATGTTAGCAGCTTACTTCCCTGAGGAGGATGGAAGCGTTACATACATCAGGTTCAAAAACAACGAACCTGGAATTGCGTACCAAATTCGCAATTACATGACCATGGAAGAGTACGAAAGGTTTCTACAAGAGAAACCAGCTCTAAACAACTCAGAAAAGAAAGAGTAAAAAGTTTAATTCGTAATTGTTTATTTTTTTACTTGTAAGGGCAAGCTGCAGGTATGAAGTCGACTATCTCCGTCTTTGTTTTGACGAGCTGGACGGCTCTTGCGAGTACGTCTGTTTTGCGGTCTCCAGCTGGTGTCTGACCTTCGTAATTGCGCATGTTCTTGAGAGCTCCAACTGTAAATGGTTGTAGGATGAAGAGTCTCTCAGACTGCTTGAGGTAGTCTTCACGGTCACGAACCGAATCTGTGGTACGAGTCGAATCAGTCGATTTGAGGGAAGAGACTGAAAGCCTGTCGTCTTCCATTGGAGCTGTAGCATACTTTGCGTAAGCGGTTCAGACCTTCTTCGAAGTCTTGGTCTCTCTTCGATTGAGATTGGAATTGGAATTGCTGGGGTGGAGCTTGCTGGAACAACCAAGGGTTGGGGAAGTAAGGCATGGCTGAGGAGGTAGTTCGGGAAGCCTTGTGGTGGGTAGTAACCTTGAGGTGGAAATTGGTAGTAATTCGGAGGTACTTGCTGGAACTGAGGTTGCTGAGGAGACTGTTGTGGTTCTGCAGCTTTCGGTTCTTCTGGCTTTGAAGGCATTCAGGAAGAGGAACGTCAGTCATCCGTTTGTGTCCTGTCGGAAGGAAAAATTTTTTCTGAAGTTCGACCAAAAAGTTCTCAATTTTCGAAAATTTGAATGGTTTACGGACGGACAACTGGAAAGTTCTTCCTGTCGTCGGGAAAATTTTTCCCTTTGTCGGGAAAATATTTTCCTGTCGGATGGAAGAACTTGGAATGCAAGAAAGACTTGACGAGGCAATTTACCTCATTGAACTTAACGACTGCGTAAAAGACTACTTGCGCAAGGTAATGAAGCCCAAGGTCAAGTTCACCACTATTTCTGGAAGGTCTACACTTCAGCTCGAGACTTCGACTGGAATTCCAATTCAAATACCAGACGGGACAGCCTACGATGGCATAAAGGACGCCAAAAGAGAAGCTCTTGTTAAGTTCCTAAACAAACGTCCTTGGATAAAAATACCAAAAAGGAGAACCCCTACCCCATATGAAATTGGCAATTCAGTCTCTCCTTCACTTCTCTGGTCAACCATTCTTTATAACTACAGAAGGCGACATTCAGCCAGTTCAGTAAACATCTCATTTTAACTCACTTTTTTTATGTTTTTACTCACACTCGTACTCACCAGGTATGAGTACAAACTATTTCAACTGTGAACCTTGTAGTGACCGGTCTTCCTGCAAATGCAAGTTCGGTCAATACACAGTTTATGGTGGCAAGAAAGACAGTGGGGAATGTTATTCTGACATCTGTTGTTGCGCTCGAGAGAGAATTGAAATTCCAGACCCAACTCCAACAAGAACTCTCAAGTTGCCAAAGACTCATGTGAAGAAGAAGTCATATAACAAAGCACTTATAGCCATCTATATGGCACGTTTAGAGTAAAAACATTTTTTTCATTTTTTGAATGAAGCAAGTTAAATTTGTCCCACACCAAACTCAATGGACTGATGAAGAGTTTCAAGCTATGGTTGAAGGTGTTGAGAACGACATAGACGGCGAACTTGAAGGAGCTCAAACCACAATTGCAACCAAAATTGCACAAGTCAAAGAAGAGATAGCTCCACTTAAAGCTACCAAAGCTACTCTTGACCTCATGGATACTTACCGTTTAGAAGTAAAGAGTGGAATAAGACAATTAAAATTGAAACTTCTAAACTACGAAGCTATACTCCAAAAGTTAGCAGAAATGAGAAGACTTTACCAGAGCTACTTACATGTAAGGGACTTACCTTCAAGCAGTCCGACCAAAGATGAATTTTCTGACATTGTCCCACTTTTGTCCGAAAGTCAGCTCAGATGTTTTGAACTGCTCCCAACATATCCAGAATATGAAAATTTGCCTGAACTCTTTCGGTTCCTCAAAAAACGTTTTTTGGTTCTCATGTTCGAAACTTTTATCGGAAGAAACAACAAACGTTCAGAAGAAGAGCAAGATATTATTTTAAACTTGTTGTATGACTTAACTGTCATAACCAGCTTTTTGAAGTAAAACCGTCATTCTCAAACCACTTCATTTTTTCGATGTCCGAACAAGCACCGAAGCCAAACTCAATGGAAGATGTCCTTTCAAGGTTGCCAGACAAGCGCCCAGTTCAACTTCAAATTATGAATTTGAAAGCTCATCTGACAAACACCATTAAGACTCTCCAAAGTAGTCTTATGACAGAGATGAAGGAACTTAAAGGTGAGTTCCTCATGAACCAAGCTTCCAATGAGAAAGTCCTGAACGATTTCTCAGAATCGTTGCGCAATTACGAGAGAGAGAACCGAGATCTTGCCAGACTCATCTACCGTTTCTTCGAAGAGATAGACGCCATCTGGAAGGTACTCGGAAAGGACAGAACATGCAACACCGTACTTCGTGAGTACCAAATTGAAGAAGGAATTGTCGAGGAAGAAGAGGAAGAAGAGGAAGAAGAGAAACACAAAGAAGAGGAAGTCTGGGCAACCCTTGTTGCCGATGACGCTTACGAAATTTCCCAACCCTACCCATACCAAATCCGCAACAAGGAGACAGGCAAGGTTCTTACCCCAGTCCTCAACAACTTGGGACACTTGAACCTTAACCTTCGGAATCGCGGTTCAATCTCCATGGGCAAGCTTGTCGCAATTCAATGGGTTCCAAATCCAGACAAGAAGACGAAGGTCAGACACATTGACGGTGACAAGCTCAACAACCGTAAGGAGAACCTCGAGTGGTTCTAAGAGTAAAAAAAAAATATTTTAGGGGGAAACCCCAAGTAAATTTAAGTTTTTATTTTTGGTATTGTACCAATTTTGGAATGTGAAGACCACATCCCAACCTCTGTACGTGAGTCTTGGGTCCACGTCTAAGACCCTTCTGTAGCAATTCCAAGCCCGAGCAAATTCAATTGTCAACCACTCGTCTCCTCTGTAGTCTTCAATCCATTCTTTGAAGAGACGGTCGAGTTCGGCTTGGAATATCTCTTGCCTGGGTCCGAGACCAACATTTGGTTGAACTGGACGAAGCGCTCAGGGATGTACGCCATTAAAAAAATGTCACTTTTTTTGAAAAACGTTTTTTACTTCATGCAATGTTTAACTATTTCACCATCTTCTTTAACACCCCAGTACTTACGCTTGGAGAGGACATGAACTTCGGTGAAAATTTTCCAATTTGAAAACACCCATCTTTTCACCGACTAAACCCATTTCAATGAGTTTGTTATACCCTTCTTCGTTCGTCATGAGTGCGTCAATGTTCTCATAGTAAACCTTGACTTTCGATTTGACTTCGAGAAGAACTCATTGTAGTTGTCAAGGACTGCCTTTGCGAACTGAGGGTAAGACCAATGTTCGACAATAGGTTTTAATGTTGGTTACTAAGCCACTTTGACCTTGAGTGAATTCGTACTTCAAAACAAAAGGAGAAAACCTTTCAACAAAGTTGTCGACCTTCTCATAATGTTTACTCTTCATCTCTTGAGGTTTCTTAATGGAATATCCCCATGTCGAATTCATAAGCAATTTGAGTGTCATTGCAAGTTTGGGGTTTGAAGCTTTCCTAATATCATACAGTTGTTGTATGACTTTTCCAACTGTATAGTTCCTTCCCGGGAACTCACCATCTTCGTTTGGAATTCCAGTCGGAATATATTGGACAAACTCATGTATGCAGCGTTAAGGTCGACATAGTATATCTTTTCATCTGAGTCGAACTTGTCGCAACCAATTGGTCCAGTTTGTGGAAATTCAAGTGAGTCTCTTATCTTCTGAGAAACTTCTCCTGTTATCTCATAAACATCGTCGAAGCAACCTGTTTCATATAAAACCTTCTGACCTAACTCAGATGCTCTCCAATACAATTTGACGTCAATTGGATGTCTCAATGGAAGTTTGTTTATAGCATCTTGAAGTTCTTGCAACCTCATTGGAAGTTCTTCTGGTTCAGGTTGGTATCCGAACAAACCAACTCCTTGTGGAACTGTGTACTTCTTTTGTACTAGAACTTTGTCTGGAACAACTTTTGGTCTTGCTAACAATGAAAAGTTTGTTTCGTCTTTTGGTACAAAAGTTTCTGTCAGCTTGTCATCTGGAATTGGTTCCAACAAACCTTTCTCGAAAGAATGTTTACAGCTCTGACAATGTTGCACTTACTTTTACCAAAGAATGGGTTTGTAAGACTTTCGTTCAACATGAAGTGGTTGTGGACAATTACAATCTTCAACCATGGTAAGTCTTTGTCAACAACATAGTCGTCATGTGAAGAACCTTTAGCTGTAGGTATGTTGACTCGGATATTGACATTTGCCAACGGTGCAATTTTTGCCAATTGACCTCTGAGAATGTACCTTGTCTTCACACATGACTCAAGATACTTCATCTTCTCATCTGTAACAAGACCAGAGTTCCTGAGACATGTAAGAATGCAAGGTTCGTTGACAATTGTTTCAATTGAATTGTAAATTCCATACCTTGTCAAGTCAATGTCAGACTTATTTATGAACGGGAAGTATCCAGCATGTTGTCTGACTGTTGAGGGTTAGGTTGGTACCATTCGAACTTGACACTTGCAATTCCTTCAATTGCATTCAAAATGTCTGAGTCGGAGTCAACCATTTGTTCTCTCTTTGTAGTCTTGAAAGCGTCAAGAAGTTTTGCGGCTGTTTGTTCATTGCCATGTGCATAGTAAATGTGACCATCCAAATCTGTTATGGTCAATCTGAGATTGTGTCCTTTCTTATTTCCGTCTTGAATTGCAGCAAGTACTCCCATGAAGCCTTCTTTGTTCTTTCCTTCGTCAAAGTTTCTGTAAAGGTTCGACAGATGTAATTTGACTTCTAACTTCACGATACTTTTCATATGCATATCTTGTTCTTTCCATGGGAGCATGTGCGTCTTCACCTTTTCCTTTTTTCCTTCTCAAAGGATGCAATTGTTCGTCATGTTTCCAGTAGAATCTGGCAAAGCCCGTCGTGTCCTTCAACTTGAGGTTCACTAACATCGAAAGGCATGTCCATAAGACGTTCTTCTTCTAACCTCTCTAGTCTGTTTTGGATAATTGGCACGTGCTGTTTCCAAATCTAATTCGTAGGTCAGACCAGCCAGTTTGTCATAGACTTTTATGGGTCTTCCTTTCTTATATTTAAACTTCTTCGAAACTCTCCAACCATATCTTTGCAACTCTGCTTTTATTCTAGCAGACTTTCTGTCCATTCTATATGGGGGCATTTTTAATAAAAATAAATATTTTTTTCTTTACTTTACATAACCGCCTGCTGCCATAAGTCTTTGACGCCAACCCATACCAGCTAATGAAGGTTGACTTGGTTTAGTTTGGAAACTAAACTTTGGTTTTGGTTTATCTTCAGTTTTTGGTTTCTCTTCTTCTATCGGTTTTTCGTCACTTTTCGGTTCCTCTGACTTTACTTCACTTGCAGGAACAGTTGTGTCGTCAACATCTTCATAAATATCATATGCCATTTGTTTTGTTTTCCTTTCAACTTTTTGTGTTTGTTGTAAAGTTTAGAATATTTCGACTCTAAGTCAATGAGATGTTCTATAATGAACTGTTGGTCAGTGAAGTAAACTTTTCCATCTGTTGTCTCGAAAGCTCCTTCAGACTTCAATATTTTATTTGTGAGAGTCTGTTTCTTTTTTGAGATACTAGCCGTTCCATTTCTATGAAAAAGTGACTTTATAGTTAGGGTTTGTATTTCCAGACCTGGCACTTTCTATTATTGAATTTTTCTCTTCATCTGTAAGTTCTTTGACAGGTTTTGACAATGGTTCTGAACTTTTGTTTGTGGTGTCAAATCTACCGTTTCAACTTCTTCGGTCATTTCATCTCAGTAAAAAATTTTAGTTTGGTTTGTTTTCAACTGGTTGTTGTTGTGGAGGTGGGATGGTTCCTTTAATAATATCATTCAGTTTCACATGCTGAGCCTGACTATATGGTACGGTTTAAATGCTGGAAGCCGACAAATCCATCTTGAACTCATTTGTCTCAATGCTGCATTGTTCATTTCATCTCAATAAAAAACTTTACATTCCCCACGTTTGAGGCGGTTGAGGTTGGTTATTGTTTACCCACTGTTGTGCATGGTTATATCCTCTGTTAAAGAATCTTTCACCTTGGTCCATATAGTGTCCTGCTTGGTTATAGTAGTCATTTGCTTTGTTATAATAGTTTCCTGCTTGTCTTCCTACATTGTCCATCCATCCTTGAACTTTTCCTCTTGTTTCAGGATTTGGAATAAGATTTGTTGCATCTCGTGCTACATCCCAACCTTTCTGTACAGTTTGTATAATAGGTTGTGCTTTCTCTTTCAGTATACCTAATGTACTCAAAATCTTCCTTCCAATTCCAAATGCACCTCTGGCTATTGTTCCCACTGCGGGTAAAAATCTAGATGCGACTCCTGCTAATGCGCCAAATAAACCCATTTCTTATAGGGTAAAAAATGACGAATCCGAACAAGGACCCCTATGTTTCTAAAGCGACAAAGAAAGCACTCATGATAAAAATCTTTAGTTCAACACCAAATGCTTGGTTTATGGATATCTTGGAAAACATTCCGAGAGTTAGAACAGATGGACCTCCATACTGGTTAATATTTGTTGGTCAAAACACAAGATACTGTGAAGCCATACCATTATGGTCCAAAAATATTTTAGATGTGAAAACTGCTTTGACAATATTCGTTGACAAATACCATCCAACAAAACTGACATCTGACTGTGAAAGTTCTTTCAAATCAGATGATGTAAAAAACTATCTGCGTTCAAAAAATGTAAACCAATATTTCATTGTCGACCAAAACCATTCTGCTCTTGGTGTCATTGACGGTTGTATAAAAATGTTAAGAGACTTAAACCAACCACAAGGTGGTGAAGCAAATGAAATGTCATATGACGACAAGTATAGACACTTCTCCATGGCAAAGATGAGACAAGTTTTAAATATTTACAATAACCGTAAACAAAAAGGTTTGGGAAACCACTCCCCCGAAAAAATGAAAAACAACCCTGACTTAGAGAAAGACTATATATTTAATAATTTAGTCAAAAGAGACAAACAAGAAAGAATGCCGGGCTTCAAACTTCAGAAAGGTGACAAAGTAAAAATAGAAATACCTAAACGCGACCCATATGAAAATACTATTGACTATGACAACAATGGGAACTCGACAGGTACTCACATTCGTGTTCGTAAAAATAGAAGAAAGTATACAAGAGAATATTATGAAGTTTTAGGCAAACATGGCAAAATGTACAGACTGCAAGCAGAAGATAAAACTACTATTGTCAGACCTCGTTTCAAACTTGTCAAAGTTCAAGGTGGTATACTTTCAAAGACAGTTCCTAACAAATATAAGACAACTCCTGACGAATATGCTAAAGAAGTTGAAAATGACGACTAAGCAATTCTATACCATGCGTAAACTGTCATGTAAGGTGGCATGTATTCTTTACTTTGTCCCGTTGTTTGCGTATATCCTGAAACGAAATGTGTATGGTTTCCTTCTCCCTGCGTGTCATCCCAGTAACAATTTATAGCAAACTTAACGTCGTCTTTAACATCATATCCTTTACCTTTTGTCATTCCTGACCAATCCCAATATCTATGCTTATGCCAACCTGCTTGAGATGTACTTAAATCTATGTAATGACTGTGTGCAGGTAAATTTTCACCTGAAATCGTTTTACTTCCACCTGTTTCCTTTGAAGAGTTTGCACAATACAAAAACCTGTCGACTATTTGTTCCCATGCACCAACACCAAACATTACTTGAGGACCTCTTGCATCCATAGATGTATAAATAAAACCTACTGGGTTCATTAAATCAAACATATGAGATATTATAGGATTGTCTCTTTTGAACTTAAAATATAGTGCAACTATTTCAGGTTTCTTCTGGTTTGTGTCAGAATATTTTTTATAATATAATCTTATGTTTTCAGGGTAGGTAAAATCTTGACTATAATATTTATTTCTGTCATCTGTATAATAATATACTATTCTCGTTTTTTCTATTGCATTATATCTTTTATATCTATAATAATCTAAATATAATGTTAGCTTTTGTTCATCTACATGTGGTGTTCTGTCGTCATCTCCATAGTCATAATAATGTGGTGCCGGAGCTGGGTCAGGCAATGTCATATCCACCATTTCATAAACTCTTAAATATTTCTTTTGTTCGTCTCCATATAAGTTTAAGTAGCAGTTGTTGTCTAATGGAACTTTAACTTGTGTACCATCATTCTTTTTATAGCTTACATACATTTCATTGTTATTTTTCGGAATGAGTTTACACCGTGTACCATTTTTAAGGACTGTACCAACTGCCATCTAAAATATTTATTTTCTTCATTGACAGAAAAGTCACCAACAATAGTTTCAATATTTTTTGTTCCTATCAAACTTTGGTATATTTCATTGACATATGTTTTATCTGCTTTATTTTCAAGGCTAACGTTTAAGTCTGTTATTTCAGAAGATGTATGTGTATGTCCAACGTCACTTTTCCTGTTTAAGGTTTCTTGTAAGTTTGTAATATTTGCAATGGTATGTGTATGTCCAACGTCACTTTTCCTGTTTAAGGTTTCTTGTAAGTTTGTAATATTTGCAATGGTATGTGTATGTCCAACGTCACTTTTCCTGTTTAAGGTTTCTTGTAAGTTTGTAATATTTGCAATGGTATGTGTATGTCCAACATCACTTTTCCTGTTTAAGGTTTCTTGTAAGTTTGTAATATTTGCAATGGTATGTGTATGTCCAACGTCACTTTTCCTGTTTAAGGTTTCTTGTAAGTTTGTAATATTTGCAATGGTATGTGTATGTCCAACGTCACTTTTCCTGTTTAAGGTTTCTTGTAAGTTTGTAATATTTGCAATGGTATGTGTATGTCCAACGTCACTTTTCCTGTTTAAGGTTTCTTGTAAGTTTGTAATATTTGCAATG